ACATATATAAAAAAATTTATTAATATATTATAAATTAAAAATATAATAATATAAATTTTTACATGTATTTATAATTAATTTATATAAAAAGTTATCAAAATTAATATTTATAATTTTTTATATAAATTAATTAAAAAATTACACCACTTGAAAGGTTTAGAAATGTGATAATAACATTTTAACGCCCACCATGCTCGAACACACGTTTTCATTGTGATGGACGAAATGACAAACCAGTCCAGCCACTACACTTGTCTTGTTAAATTAAAACATCATATTATATTTATTTATATATCATTAAACTAACGATTTGAAATGTTAAACTAGTTAAACTGGTCAAATCGAGAACTAAAAGTCAAAACGGTTTGACCTCTGGGTCAGTTTTCAAAACATTGGTATATGGAGTGTTACAGTAATGATTTATCGGCAAATTCGTATTTAAGGTCTATGATCTCAACTTTACAATAAACCACTTATAAAACTAACAATCTATTAGTTTGAGTAGGAAGAATTTGGTTTCTTTTAACTAAACTCTTGAATTTAAGTCTTGTGAATGGAAAAAATGGTGTTAGAAAGCTTCCCCCATTTATAGGAATTGAGACAACTCGATTCTAAATTAGTTGGATCCAATGTAACTTCTAAATATTGAGAGATTAGCAAAAAAAAAAAAAAAAACCCACTTCTAAAAAGGTATGAAGTAAGAGAAGAAATAAGCTAAATTTGCCATGCCCTAGGACTAAAGGGAGTGAAAGCACCAAAGTAGGGTCGGCTCCAACTCCATTTACCATTTCAATAGACGATTCTTTCATATCGAATAAGAAAGAAAATTAATTAGGAGGGGTGGATATAATTACTATTTTAGACAATTGAGAATTTTTACTTTATGTCAAATTCTAAATAATAATTTTTATAAATACAATTGATCATTTGATTTCCTTTTACAACTTCATATGTTACAAGTTTGATGGTTTGTAATCCAAGTAGGGGTTTCAGGTGTTGATTACTCCTTGAAAATGGTGACCTGCATACGGCCAGCTTTTTATCCAATATTGCAAAATCATACAATCTATTTCAATGGTAAAATGTGTAAAGCGGTAAGATGGGCACCTCTATCAATCGGTTAAGTGAAGGTGAATGTGGATAGAAGCTTAAAGGATAATTTGAGGCAAATTGCAGCAAGAGGTATTTGCTGTACCAACCAAAAAAAATGCCTATTTGAGCTCACTAAGCGTATTGGCTTCCAAAATAGCATTGTGGCTAAGTTACATGCCATTATGCAGGGTTTGAAAATGGCATGGAACAATGGATTTAGGCTTATTGTTGTCAAGTCTAACTGCACAGTGGCCGGCAATAAGATTCTAGAACATCATGACGAAGACAACCATGACTTAATGAGCAAGATTGTAATCATGTGTAGACAACTATTACAAAGGAACTAGCGCTACCAACTCATGCACACTTACAAGGAAAGAAACTACTGTGCTAATTGTTTGGCTTTGAATTTTTAACATCTTTTAATGGGGGAGACAGTGTATCTTCAACATCTTCTAATGGGGTAGACAGTATACCTTCAACATCCATCCAATCTCATGACATTACTTGAAGATGATCTTGCAAGTACTTTTAGGATTAGGACTCACATTTAGTATAGCATTTATATGCATGTTTTGAATATGCATTAACCATGTATATCTAGTGAGTTACTCTAGATTTAATTGCAATGTAATACCTCAATGCTCTATTTTCTAAAATGAAATTTAAAGTCCTAATCGTTTTGAGTTATGTACATTGTTCCTAGACATATGAAAAACAATCTTCCAATATTGGAATAAAAAGGTGTGATATGTTTATTTCATTTCTTTACTACTCAATTATTGTTAAAAGCAATATATATTTTCTATTTGAACAACAAACAAAATGATTTGTATTAACTAAAATAAGTACAAGTAGTATTTCCATCCATAAACATGAAAAATTACAATAACATAGTACAAAACACTAAACCAACTCAATCATACCAGTTGAAACAAGCACAAAATTCCATATGCTTTTCTCTTCCATCTACTTTTCTTCCCCGACTCAACCCCACCCCATTTGTAATAGAAACAGAGGAACAATTTCAACCCAGTGTCACTTATCTGCACACTTTACTTTAGAGCAGTAATGCAACAACTCGATTTACTGCACCCACCCACCCTTACCTTGATCCAATAAAAAAAAAAAAAATCTAACTTGCTCCGATTCGAGCAATCGCTCAAACTTCAATTCAAAGTTTCTAAACAAAAGTTCATTTCTATTTTCTAGCTAATCAAAATGTTCAAACAATTGCAAACCAAATTAACTCCCACGCCTATCCTTACTTAAGCTGTACTTCTCAACCATTCATGTTGCGTAAATGCCTCTCTACAATTATTTGGTAAAACATAAACCAAATCCCACCAATTTAGCTAATTCATGCTCAAGGTATAGCCGCTAACTTTTGTTAAGGCTACATGAATATACTGTAAGTTTATTTAATTTACTTAATTTTATTTATTTATAACTAATTAAAATTTTTACAAATATCAATAATTAAACTAGTTTCAAGCTGTTAATTAATCAATATCAATTTTTTTTTAAACAATGAGTTGAGAGCTATAAGTATCAATTCTCCTAACAGTCAAATCAAATACATTTTTTTTTTTTTCTTTTTTTGCCATAACCATGCCCTCAAGGTAAAACGTGAGTTGAATTGCACTAACAAGTGCTTAGAGAGTCCTCATCCCCCATGCCACACCGAATCCACACAAGGCTATACGTTGGCCCCGGCCCACCCACGGCCCAACTAGCCAACGGTCCAAAAATTTCCAGCGGTAAAAAATACATTTTCTTGAAATAATTGTAACGGACAAAGACAAAAAAATTTCCCTTGCATCGACTTGTTCCACGTGTTCCCCCACCCGCCAAACACCTTCGGGCCAAATTTCACGAAGAAAGCATTTCACCATCAACAGTCAGTAGCACCACTACGGCGCCACCTCTGCTCCTCGTAAGTTTTCTAAGTTGTACGGTTTCGTTGTCGGTTCCGCTATGGTCGCAGTGGCGCCGCAGCTGGTCTACGGCGGAATCGATTCTGGCCGATTCGCCTTCCCCCGCTCAAAAAAGGTCTCGATTCGCACTCGTGCTAAGCCGGTTCTCTCGGTGGCCACTGAGCCAAAGCCGAGCCGACCTGGGCCGGTCCAGTCATCTCCACGGAGTGATGGCCTCAACGGCGCCTCAAAGTCTCCGCTGTCTAATGGATCCGTCAACGGAGTTTCAACGGTCAGTTGTTGGTTCCTTTGACTGTTGTATTTTCACTTGGTGAAATTGATATTCAATTGCTTGTGTTGTTTGGCTGCTGAGAAAAATATTATGAAAAGTTGAATTTTGATCACGACAGTTGCTTTCTTTGATTTATGAGTATGATTCCCGGTTTAAGATTATCTGGTTCTCTAGTAATTTTGATGTATACTTGTTTCATGGTTGGATTGATCATTCTCGTTGATGATGTTTTGTGTTTGGTTGCTGAGAAAGTGTAGCAACGTAATGGGAAATTAAATTCTAAGGAGAAAATAATGAATGTAGGTCAATCTGGCTATGTGCATACAGTTAAGGCTAACGTGAGGAATTGAGCTAGATGTTTTATGTGATGAGGAATCAATAACTGCATTAAAATTGTTTGAAAATTCGTAATGTTTATTAATTTTTTTAGTTAACCCATATTGTTTTGTCTATTCTGGAATTATGTTAAGATTCTGGACTTACTGCTTCAATGACATTAACCTGCCAGAGGATTGGAGATGTTTCACAAGAGATCAAGAGAGTGAGAGCACAAATGGAAGAAAACGAACAGCTGGCTATACTTATGAGGGGACTACGGGGCCAAAATCTGAGCGACTCTCAATTTGCTGATGACAACATACGACTCCGCCTGGTAGAGGTAATTTAGTTTTAAAATTTATTTTTTGAATTGGTAGAGTATATTTGTACCAAATTTTAGTTTTACTTTGATGCTTTTTGATGCATTGATTCAGGTACGATCAGGGATGAGCCAATTTTTACTGTACCCCTAGTTGGTACTTATTCCATTCGTATTTTACAATTCTATGAAATTTCGCATTGGCTATTTAATATTGTTAGTTTTCTTGGTGCTTATGCAACACAATCTTTGCAAATATTCACTATTCATGTGATAGTCCATATTATTACTCTTTAATTCATGGTGAATGTTACTTGGATTGGAATCAAGTATTTTACAAGGTTACATGCTTCATACTGTTACTCACTTACTCTGTACTTGGATTGGACCTTTTTTTTTCTTTTGATGATTAATCAAACAATGTGCCAATCACTCATAGACACAAAGGAGAGAAAAGTGGCAGGACATATAACGTTGTTGATTGGTGATGTTTGTGCTGTTTCGCTTTTGCAGGTAGATGAAAGCAGTGAGTTCTTACCTTTGGTTTATGATCCAGCAAGCATCTCTGCATATTGGGGAAAACGACCACGTGCTGTTGCAACACGGATTGTACAGTTACTATCAGTTGCTGGAGGTTTCCTCTCTCGACTTGCTTGGGATGTGATTAACAAGAAGATTAAAGAGGTGAAAACTTGATGCTCTGCCCAATGCTTCTAAGCTATTGGTCTTTGCATATGATTATTTGGATGTCATAAAAGCAAATTTATTTGCCTCTGTTTACTAAATTTCAAAACATTGCATGTGCACTCGTGCACACACACCCATATATCAAATCCAACACATGTGATATGGAAATATGTTTTTTGGACACTGATATTGGAATCAGCACTACAAGGTACTGCAGAAGGTTGAAAACCACTCGAGTTTTTCACCAGCCTTAATTTCTTAACAATGAGCCTCCTTCTCTTAATACCATACCATAATCTTAAAAAGAAAGCACAAGAGGAACATTATTAATATTAGGAACTTCTTACCCCTTACCACCTGATCGTATGAAACCTTTACCAAAAATTATCAGAGATTTCATTGCTGGGGAAGTGTACAAATAAAAATAATGCTATCCGTACTTAAAACTTTCATCTTCTACAAATCTCTCCATCAAAGGGGGATTTGAGTTTCTTCAAAATGTGGTTTTTATATTCAATATTTTATCTGCTCTAGAGCATGCATTTGCTGGTTTGAAATAATTGTTCATGTTTGATCTTCCATCAAGAAAAAAATTTGAATTTCCTTTAGAAATCTGTTTTTGTCTTGAATAAGTTATTTACTCTAGAGCATGCATGCGCTGGTTCAAAATACTTATTTTTGTTTGATTTTCAAGATTAGTTGCTTTAGACTGTTTATTTATTTTATTTTCAGAATGAAGTAGCTAGAGCTATTGAACTAAGGGAAATAGTGACCTCTTTGGGTCCAGCATACATAAAACTTGGGCAAGCATTGAGTATTCGACCAGATATACTTTCACCTGTTGCAATGATTGAGCTGCAAAAGCTTTGTGATAAGGTGAGTTATTGGACAGTGATTCCTTTCTGTATTGCTCTTTGAAATTATTTAAAGTGGTCAGAGAAGCTTTTCCTTTGCCACCCCAGTAAAATTTTGTGCAGGAGATTAAGTTATTAGATGTTAGGAGTGCTATTATATTAGGCACTGTAGTCGAGATGGATGCAAGAGAAATTGTCATGCTTTTATGCTTAATATTGATGTGTTCATGATCTAAAATTCGATTAATGTTATGTGCCAGTTGACTAGAACAGTGGGGATAGCCATGATTATCTGCAGTGATGTTTGGATTTGCTTGTCTTGTTTTTCCTTGCACAGGATAGACTGATATGAATAAGTAAAAGCTTGAACAATGAGTCCATTCTTGGTTGTTCTTCCATGGCATGGGCATTAGAACCAAAGAAAAATCCAAAAACATTCCATAGAGCTTTTGCCTGAGCTTCCTTGCAGGAAAACTTTTTGGCCTGATCGTAGTCTAATAATCACTTTGCAGTGCTTCAGTAGGTTAATGGAGGTTGACTAGTATTTTCACCATTAATCCAGCAAACTTAAGGTTTTCATGACTGATTTTTCCATTTATGATATGTGAAGGTTCCTTCATTTCCAGATGATGTGGCTATGGCTCTTATTGAAGAGGAACTGGGTCAGCCATGGCCCAACATCTATTCTGAACTTTCTTCTTCACCAATAGCTGCTGGTAATTTCAAGTTGAATTTTTAGTGAATATCAATACATTCAAAATCAGCTGAAAAGGCCATATAATGCTTTTTCTTCTTGTGTGATGTCCATGGGCAGCATCTCTGGGACAGGTATATAAGGGTCGCTTGAAAGAAAATGGGGATTTGGTGGCTGTCAAGGTACAGAGGCCTTTTGTTCTTGAAACGGTTACTGTTGATCTGTTCATCATACGGAACTTGGGCCTAGTCCTCCGTAGGTTTCCTCAGGTAGACTTTTTTCAAATAATAAGCTTTTAGTTCTAAAAAAAATGTAATGACATATTTGTAGTCCAACTTTCCCTTTCCCTTTCCCTTTGCTCAAGTCTTTAAAGGGGCATCCATGCTCTTTAGCCCTAATAATTTTACTGCTTCCTCCATTGTTTGCAGATTTCTGTTGATGTTGTTGGATTGGTTGATGAATGGGCTGCCCGATTCTTTGAGGAGCTGGATTATGTTAATGAGGGTGAAAATGGAACATTCTTTGCCGAAATGATGAGAAAGGACCTTCCACAGGTAAGTATAATGTTTTCTAACCTCATAATAGTTCATACCTTAATTATGTTTGGGAAAGTCAGTCTTGATTTTGCACTATCATTCTGGTTACAAAATTTTTTATTTCATTTGTCAAGTTGCACTAACGACAGGAGGCACAGAAATAACTGTTCCGATTTTCTAATTAACAACTAGAATTTCTATTGTACCATTCTGCATGGCTTTATGTCTGATAGTTGTGGAAAATCTTCTTTTTATTCCTTTGTTTTCTTCAGCTTTATCTTTTCTGTATAATTGATGCAAGATAGATGAAACTGAAGTTAATATTACTCAATTTTTGAAATATTTTGTGTTTTTAGGTTTGTTCCTTCATGTTTTTTCCAGGTTGTCATACCAAGGACCTACAACAAGTATACTTCAAGAAAGGTCCTTACTACAGAATGGATTGAAGGAGAAAAGCTATCACAAAGTACAGAAAGTGATGTTGGTGAACTTGTCAATGTTGGAGTGATATGCTACCTAAAGCAGGTAATATATTCTATGAATATATAATGCTACCATGTTAGCATGTGCATAATGGACATTAAAATAGAAAATAGTTTTGTTTCACTCTTTCTGAGATGGATTTTGTTACTGCACTTCACAATTTCTCATAGATTTTTTGGGTGCATAAAAATTATTGGTTTTGGTTAATTAGTGCAGAAGTGGGAAATTAGCTACTGACAACAATGTGACAGTTTCACTCTTGTGGAAGTATTCTGCAGCCAACGCAATTGCTGTAACACTAGTACAGTACTGTCACTACTGTCATGTCAATGACTTGCCTTCAACTTAAAGAAACATTAAACAATTCCTTATAAATCTAATTTCCTTGTAGACTGCTGGCCAAGGAGCTCACTTAGCATATACTTATAATATCATGATGGCATGATCACGCTTTGCCTAACAATTTTCATTAATGTCAATGGTTTACATATGAAAAAATCATCATGGTACTCAGTCTTTTAACTTCCTTTATCCTCAATGATTGCCTTTTTGCACATGTACTTGTGACCAACAGATGGAAGTTTCTGGGTAACTGGACATCATTGTTTCTTGCATATTATACGTTTTACTTTATTTCATGCGATTTTTATTTTTTGTTTTCAGTTGCTTGACACTGGGTTTTTCCATGCTGACCCTCATCCTGGGAATCTGATTCGCACACCAGATGGCAAACTTGCCATTCTTGACTTTGGTAACAATCTATTCATGAACATTCTTAAGTCTTGACTTTGGTTAAAGTTCTCATCATGTAGGTGCTTCTATATGAATGCACTTTTAACAACTTGGATCTGCATCAATTTATGTTATATATAAGAAATTAGATTTGTAGAAGATAGGTTCCCTTATTACAGTGGAATTAAATTATAATACCTTGGTGCTTGCATGTTGATACAAGCTTGCATTTTTTAGATTATGCACATATTAATTATTTCTGAATTTGATTAATTTCAAAATTAATGAATAATTTGCTTAAAAACTTAAGAAAAATGAACCAAATTATTAAACTAAATAAAGAAAGAAAGAAAGAAAGAAAAGAAGAAGAAGATATCCCCTTAGATTAAGAGAGGACTTAAAAGTTGAAATGAAACTTAGGGAGATTTTAGTTTGGAGAGGAGAGAATTTGAGAAAGCTTGGGGGTTGAGAATGTTACCTTTAGAGATTGAGAGAACAAAAAATTTTGGTGTGATAGAAGCATGGGTAATGAGGGTATTTATAGGGGAGATTCTTTGTTGTGTTTCCAAAATAACCTTGAGAGAGAATGGGAAGTTTTGGTGTGAGGAGAAGTGTGGGTAATGGGGGTATTTATAGGTGAGATTTTTTGTTGTGTTTCCAAAATACCCTTGAAATAGCTACTCCCTTTGTCCCAAATTATCTGTTGCTATAACTAACTTGGTTATACTTTTATATAGCATATGAATGGTAATTAAAAATATTCTTTTGATTGAATGAAACTACTAGAAAGAGAAGTTTTCAATTGTCATTCATATGCTATATAAAAGCATTACCTAAAGTTACGTGCAAGTTAGTTATGTGACTGATAATTTGAGATGGAGGGAGTATTATTTAGCTGGTGAGAGGAATAAAATGGAATTTCCAGCATTTATTTATTTATTTATTTATTTAAAAAATGCAGAATCTAGTTGTTGAAGGATCTGTTAGGTTGTGTTGTGTCAATAGACCAGCCAGGCACAACATGCTTCTAATGGCTAGAACAATATGAGTTTAGTTTAGTCTGACAAAAAATTGAGCCAACGTGGCATGGAATGAGTTGGGTTGTGTGCACTTTGTCAACACTGGCCCTATCTGTGCCATGTGATGGTTGGGCACAAGAAATTGGGTCTGACGGTCCAACTGCGGCCCAGGCTCTGGGATGTGCACAGCCCAAATCATGACTGGCTGGGCCTCCAGCCACATAATGGTATATGCATACATGATCAATAACAGGTCAAGTTGTTGTCTTTTGGTGAGCACCTGTTCTTAGATGGGCATTATTGGTTACAGTTTTTGAGTTATTGATGGCATATAAATTCAATACTAGATGATTTTGTTCTGGATGCCCAAGTAGGCATATGTTTTCTTAGGTTCTGATGTGGAAGGAAGAAGATTTGTCTAGCCAACCTCCATATCAGTTTTGGATCAAATCAAGGCTTTCTTAGGTTAGTTTGAGATGATTGATTTCTTGGATAGTAAATTTCTCCTGAATCCTTGACATAGATTGATTTACATGTCCTGCACGAACAAATTTAGGACCAGGAATGATAATGAAAAGATTTAAATACTCTTAATGAATCAACATGCAAGAAACTTAAATACTCTTAATGAATCAACAAGCAAGAAAGATCATTAAGGGTATGTGAACAATTTCACAGCAGTCCTGGCATTTAAAACGTCTGGAAGTCCTGATTTTCACTTTTCTCATATATTTATCTATATTTATCTATGCTATTTTTATTTAGATTAATTGTGCTAATGATGCAACAGGTCTGGTGACAAAATTGACTGATGATCAGAAGTATGGAATGATTGAAGCTATTGCTCACCTTATTCATCGAGATTATGGAGCTATAGTGAAAGATTTTGTTAAACTGGATTTTATTCCAGAAGGGGTTAATTTAGAACCTATCCTACCGGTTCTAGCTAAGGTTTTTGATCAGGCACTTGAAGGTGGTGGGGCAAAAAACATAAATTTTCAAGAGCTTGCATCAGATTTGGCACAAATAACATTTGATTATCCATTCAGGATACCCCCGTATTTTGCTCTTATAATTAGGGCAATTGGGGTGTTGGAAGGAATAGCCTTAGTGGGGAATCCTGATTTTGCTATTGTGGATGAGGCCTATCCATACATTGCACAGGTACAAAATTCTCTTGTGTATTTTATTTTGAAGATTATTTTGAATTCTGTTATTGTAAAGATATGAATTATGAATAGGCCTAAAAACAATATATGAATTATGCAAAGGATGAAAAATGATATATGAATTATGCATCTCCAGTTTTTTTTTCTTGGTTGCATTTCATTTAATGTTAGAATGAGAGCTTAAGAATGCATCTATTATGACAGTTGGCTCTCTTGGTACTTACCACACCTTACTTCTCTTAATGAGAGCAGCTATCTGGATTCATTGGTACTATTGTGACCTCCAAAAGAGAGTTGCCTCTAATGTTGAAATTTAGAGAATAACATTACTTTTCAGTTTGAAATTTGGAGAGCTAAATCTATTTTAACTGCTTTCCTAGAGTTCTATAACTAAATTATGATATCTTTTATTTTTAATATCGGTTTGTGGTTTATTTGGAAATGAAGAGAAAAAACCTAAGATATCCTATGGCTCTTATGGAGAACTGTCGCAAATTCTGTCTCCTTTTTTGTAAGTGATGTGAAAAGTAATTGCCACAATAACCCCTAGCTATTGGAACAACAGAACTCTATGCACCATGAAACTTGAAAAAACAAAAGAACAAATGAGAGGTAAAACTGTTGTTCTTGCAGGGAAGAAATATATGCTACCAAGGCCCTAGGATTTAGCTCAGGTCTGGACTTTTGACAGGACGAAATGTTGTAAAAGAATTTAGGTAGCAATAGAGCTTGCTTGAGTTGAATCAGATGGGGGAGTGTTTTTGTCATGATGCTGTCATTTGGATGCAAGTATTTTCTTTACTTTCTGTTGTATTTTTCCTTTATTTCTCATACATAATTGAGGTTACTTTATTCTTACCATTTATTTGTATTGTCAGAGGCTCCTCACCGATGAATCCCCTCGTCTGAGGAATGCTTTACGTTACACAATTTATGGGAAGTCTGGTGTTTTTGATGCTGAAAGGTTCATTGATGTCATGCAAGCCTTTGAGAATTTCATTACTGCAGCTAAAAGTGGAGGTGGAGAGAATTTGAATGGGGATATGGCTGAACTTGGTATTTTACAGAGTCAAACAGCTTTTGTCTTTCCTGGATTTTCATCAAGTGAATCTCAATTGAAGCAGCCAATCCAAACAAGGGCAGCCTTAGCATTTTTGCTGTCTGAGAAGGGGAACTTTTTCCGAGAATTTCTTCTGGATGAGGTATTTTAAAATCTATTGTTTGATAAGATATTAACTCAGAGAGCCTTTCTTACTTAAGCTGAATTACCACATGAAAAATTACAACAATAAATGAAGCTATCTATGGACAAAATAACACTTTATGCCACAGTAAGGTGTGTGAGTCGGCATCAATTCAACCTATTCGTCTCTGCTTTCCTCTTCCATCCAAAATGCCTTTTAAACACTAGTTTGCTTTTGTATTTAAATTTACACCAGTGAAAAAATTCTCTGTTATCTGGATCCTTGCTGAGATATACCACAAATTCAGGCTCAGAACTGGCATCTTCCCTTTTGACTGCATTGCTTAGTTAGGAAAAGAACTCTTATCCTGCTTGATCTATTCTGAACTTGGTTATAAGCTAGCTCATGTATCTATTTTCTGTGGAAGCAGATTGTGAAGGGAATTGATGCACTTACCAGGGAGCAGTTGGTTCAAGTAATGGCTACCTTAGGATTCAACAATGCTGTCCCAGTATTTAGCATGGTTCCAGCTCTTGGACCCTTTAGGCCAGCAGGACTTCTGCCCACAGTAACTGAGGAGGACAGGGTTATATTGAATAACGTGCAAAAGATTGTTGAGTTCCTAACAGAAGGAAGTTCAATATCAAGGTCATCAAATCAGGTACTCAAAAGTTTGCACTCTGACCCCTAAAATTTAACTCTCCTTTTTTTTTTCCTAGAATTTAAGTCATTTTATAATTAGAGATTGTTAGAGCTTTCGTGTTCAGAAGATTCTTTTGTCATTTTCAATGTTATTTATATCATGTATACGCCAATATCAACATGTTTTATAGAAAGTGTTGATTTGAGTAATCACGAATTCTTTAGATTGGTTTGGGCTTAAGCATCTTCTTGTTTGGATGAAAAAATTGTCAATGTAATGGATCCAGAAAACTCCTCATTCTTCTTACTCCGGTAAATTTTGTATCTTATATTTACTGCGTGTTCATTTGTGTGTATCAACAGGGCATTGACGTTGTTCGTGTTGTTCAAGAGTTGCTTCCAGTGTTGCCAGGCATCTCAGCTAGAGTGCTTCCTGAGGTCATCAGCCGGTTATCATCCCGGGTATTAGCACGTTTAATCCGAGATACAGTTTTGTAATTGAACTTTGATGGAGAACAATTGCTCAGCTTCTTTGTATATATGCTCATATACGAATTATTTATAATAAATGCAATATTATTGCATCATTTGCTGAGATTTCGTAGAAATAAGGACACAACATTTCGAAGCTATTTTAACGAAGGATATGACCTAAATGCAATATTATTACTTCCTTTCCTTCGGTAAGATTTCTTCTATGGTTTGTTCTAGATTACTTACTAGAAGAAAGGAACTCTTTTCATTATTGGCAAGTTTACATTTCTTCTGGCCATCATTATTTCGTAGAAATAAGGACACAACATTTCAAAGCTATTTTAACCAAGGATATGACCTAAATGCAATATTATTACATCCTTTCCTTCGGTAAGATTTCTTCTATGGTTTGTTCTAGATTACTTACTACAAGAAAGGAACTCTTTTCATCATTGGCAAGTTTACATTTCTTCTGGCCATCATTATTGGAGGCTTTGAATTTTGATTGTTGGCGGCAGCAGAGTGGTGGGCTGTGGCTACATTATTAAATTTGTTAAGATTACTAAATCTGGTAAAGTTTTATTTTAATTTGATTATTAAAAATAATTAATATTTATTATTTAATAAATTAAAATTAATTTATAAATAAATATTTTAAAATATTATAATTAATTATTTAAAAAATTATAAATTAATAAGATTATAATTAATTAAAATTAATAACTTTAATAAAAAAATTTTGTGATGATGACCTCAGTTCAGGTGATTGTAGATCAACGGATGAGGGCCAAAGGACAAATTGCCCCCTAAACTTAAAGATTAGTGGCATGTTAACCCCTGAACTAAATTTAAAAGCCAAATGACCCCGAACTCATCTAGATCAACAAAATGATCCGTATTTAACAGATTGTGGCAACAACGGTTTATCCCTCTGTCTATGTGAGGACTGCTAGGAGCACTCCCTTCCAGCACTCTCTGACACAGAAACCATAGCTCTTCTGACCCCATCGACACCAAGACCAATTAGGCGAACTAAGTTGACAAGCTGGATTTTCCCCATTGTTCCCATAATGTTAACGTGGTTCGCTCACCGAGTTGGTTTATGTACTGATGGGTTCAGAAGACGCCAAGAGTGCAATGAAACTGGCAATTTTGGGACTTTCGTGCATCCAGGGGTACCCACTAGTTCGTCCTTCGATGTAAACTATTGTTCAAATGATGGGAGGGCAGGGAGAGGATTTAACCCTGCCTCCCAATCCTTTTGCTTTGTACTGCCTTCAACCCAATGGTCCAAAAGAATAAATGCAAGCACTTTCAGAGTTGTGGTACATGTTCCCAGAGTTTGAAACCATCTTTGAATGCAACCAAGAAACATGGTAATTGTATGTAAATATCCAAGATTAATAATGAGAGAGGTGATTGGTGATCTGTTAAACAGAAAATATCAAGTTAAGCACTTGGCTCATATAAATTGGAACCTCGAAGTAAATTGGGAGATTTGATGAATGGAAGATTTCATTGAAGCCATTCTGTCCTATTATGGGTTTACACTCATTTTTGCAAAAAATAGAATAATGCCACGTGTCATCCATGTTGGTAATTATTTTATTGGTTAAAAGTTGTTGGTGTAAATCTCTCCAGATAAGGTTCAGTGGTTATTTCCACAACAACAGCAAAGTCGTTTACTTGTTGCGAACTTCCAAGAGGATGATCAGCAACACAAACAGATTAATTGATTTACTGTAGATTTTATGTTGTTATTGATTTTCAAGATGCTGCCAGCAAAACTCCACCATGCTGCCAGCAAAACTCCACCATGCTGCCAAGGTACTATAATTACTCGATGATTAAATCAAGCAAAAAAGGACGAGCCTCTCACATAACTAGCCCAGCGCTATCTACATTTTAGTTTTACAAGCAATGTCTTAGTTTAGATTTAGTTTTCTCAAACAGCTTTCCTAATTTAGTCTTTAGCTCTACGCTGCCATTAGTTTTAACTCTGATTTTTGTTATTTCATTGTGAACATCTCCACTCGATATATTTAGTTTTCTGCAATTCAATTTACAACACTTTGCCTCAAATTCATCTTTTTAACTTCTTTTAAGTTTTGTTTTATACTTCATCTTTTATTTCATTCTTTATGCTTTCATGCTTTCGTGACGGCATGATGCTTCCACTATGCAATTTAGTTTCCTCGCCATGTACTCTCTTTCTTCACCTTTCCTTTATTTTCCTCTTTTATTTTGATCAACAAACTAACATTTTGGCCCTAGTTGTGGGAAGTCCCTGATGTTCTTCCAGGGCAATTATTTATGGACCTTTATGCAGGAATACATCCCCGTTTCTGCAACAATCGTCTAACCAGAGCGCATCTCATAATTTATTTAACCAGTGCTCTTTCATCGACTTGCAGCCGAGCTTCACGCTTGGAAGTAGTAAGGGTCATTGGGAATCCCTCTTTCTCACTTTGAGCAAAGTGAGTGGCCCGCCTTCGCAGTCTTATATGCCATGCGGCTAGAAAGAGAGATTTTGGAGACAACAATCTCTTTTTGGCACTCCCAGTAGGACCCACCTTGGTTTCACAAGTTTGTTAATCATATCTTCTGTTGGTAGATTGTGCCACCATGACAAGTCTTTATTTTGATGACTATCAGGAGCTCTTCATGACTCCGCCACATACTTTCTTTTATGCCAATCCACTTTATGATGAGAAGGCAACAGTGGGCAGTGAGTCTTCCAAATCACTTGCTGAAATAATAGCTGATGCTAATGAAAAATCTAAAAGGCATTATAAGGAACACATGAAGTGGTTGGAAGAACATTAGAAAAGATGCAAACAAGAGGATATCATCAAAAACTTAAGACCCTTCAACCCAAAAATGAGGTTTTAATGGAGGATTCAAAGAAGCGTCATGCAACCATGTCTCCAAGAACTCTGAAGTAGTTTTGCAAATTGCAAAACGTGACAAAAATGCCAATTGTAAATGAAGGTCAAATGACACTAGGGTTAGAGAGTAACCCCACAATCGCACTCGGGGGGCATGAATCACAATTGCAACGTGTTGCCCAAAGTCAGCGACGCAATGCAACTTTACAGGCAACTTCAACAAGTATGCCTCCAAGTCATTCTAAGTTTGCAAAGACTAATACTAGCAAGAAGCATCTTACCCCTGGGAGGCATAAACCAACTCAGGTGCAGACATGTCAGCCATCCATCAATAAAGGTCCATTTGATGGCTGACAACAAGCTGATGCTGCTACACAAAAGCCAACACGTTGGCCAGCATCAGTACATAAATCTGATAAGGTATCCACCTCATCTATTTCTACTTCTTTTGAGACTAATGAGCATGTTCCTTCTGCCTTGCTTAAGAAGTGTTCACGACGACCATATTTTCCGAGTGGTTGAAGCCTTTCCAAATTCAACTATGGACAATGGTTAAAGGTGAAATATCCTTTTAAAATTGTTAGTCTGAAAAGGGGAGTCATTTCCAATCTCGAGGGGCAACCTAATCAGATTGAACAACAAAGGTTGTAAGACCTTATTGCCAATAAAGTTCCTAAAGTTACAGAAAAAAAGCAATAGCAACAAAGCTTGTGCCATTGCAACTTGATGCCAATCCAAATGTGCAACTAATGCCGCCACAACAAAAGCATGTGTGCAAGCCTAGTCCACCTCAATGGTTTGCAGACTCATTGCCCAAGGCCACTTAAATGGCATGTAGGCCACCATGTGTCCAACATGTTGTAGGCCATATTCAAAAAATAATGATTCTTTTCAAAGTGGCTTTTATAAAAAATTCTCAGATTTTCCTTGCAGCAACAAGGATAACATGGGAGGTGGCATAAGAAATACCATGCCTTCACATCTGCCAAGTCAAAGAAGGAGGAAGAAATCTAAAGACCTCTGTGGGACACTAGAGAAGGAACAAAAGCAAGAAACCCATGTCTCTGAGTGGAGGCACGGAAGGCATGATCTCGTAGACAGGCATGGAGGCATGTACAAATGCTGCCTCTATAAACAAAGTCAATTTCAACATGCTCACCATATAAACCTGGTGACCCACCCAAAGTTCCTTACCTGGTGACCCACCCAAAGTTCCCTACCCAAAATCCTACGACTCTTCGGAGGCGACTTCAAAAGAAACAAGCTAAAGAGCGTCCAAAGCATGTTGTTCCCAAAGTGCATGTTTCCCAAAGATAGCAACCTCCAGGAAGGCAAAGGTTCATTTGGGTGGAAAAGAAGAAACACGATGCAACCTCTCAAGAGGCAAATCAGAATTTAGTTAATGCAATCGTGTTTCCAAATACATCTGTCAAGCATGTTCCTTTTAAGTCAAATGACTCAAAGGCAATTAAGGAGCTTAATGTCAACAGCAAAACAATTAGCCTTGATGAGTTTATTATTGAACTTCCAAGTTCCATTCCAAATCTCCCTTTTATTTTACAAATAAGCAAGATGTAGCCTCTAATAGTAAAGAGGCAGCAAAGAACAAAGCAGACATGTTCGCCAAAAAAAACAAAGGGAGGGATCATAAAAAGGATGCTGCAACCTTTGTTCCAAGAGGAGGCATGTGACTGTTAGTTAAAAGCATGCCACTCAAGAGACATTTTGCCAACAATACGAAATCTTTGCAAATGCACAAGGTATTATATGAAGGTACATATTGGCTATGGAACCTTGATGATGGTCTACACCTCACAAAAATAAATTACTTACCTTTTCAGCCATGCTGCCCTTCGGTCTATAAGTCATGCAGTAGAGCGAAATGGAAATAATCTCTTTGCCTAAGTCAGGTTTGGGTGGAGATCAACTTTAATTTAGTTTTTGTTTTTAATTTTTTACAATTAGTGTGAATAATCTTGCAGTTAAGCGGCTTTAAGGAAGGCTGTGAGATGACATTGCTTTTAAGACATGCTTTCTATGAAGGCCTGCTTCATTTATGTTTCTAGGTCAACCAGAGAGCAAACTCATGGAATTGTTCTTTTGGGAGGCTATATTTTTCCATTTTTACAAACACACTTTTAGCTGGCTTATTTTTCTATGAAGCCGCTATGTCTGTCAGATGATATTCCATGCTATGCTGAAGAAAACAACAATCTCAAATTTCTACATTCTTGAAAACATCATGCTCCCTTTACAATAGCCACATGGTGAGGAGTGCTAGGAACAAAATTTTCAAAAACTTGATTCCACTTTCATGAAATCGTGCAACTAAGTTTTGGGGGGCATTGTTTACACCCATTTTTGCAAAAAATAACATGGTGCCACGTGTCATCCATGTTGACAGTTATTTCATTGGTTAAAAGTTGTTGGTGTAAATCTCTCCAGATAAGGTTCAGTGGTTATTTCTACAACAACAACAAAATCATTGACTTGTTGCGAACTTCCAAGAGGATAATCAATAACACAAACAGATTAATTGATTTGCTATAGATTTTATTCTACCGTTGGTTTTCAAGATGCTGCCAGTAAAACTCCACCATACTGCCAAAGTGCTATAAATACTCGATAATTAGATCAAGTAAAAAAGGACAAGCCTCTCACACAACTAACTCAACGTTTTTTACATTTTAGTTTTACAAGCAATGTCTTAGTTTAAATCCAACTTTCTTAAACAGCTTTCCTAATTTAGTCTTTAACTCTACGCTGCTATTAGTTTTAACTCTGATTTTTGGTATTTCGTTGTGAACATCTCCACTCGATATATTTAGTTTTTTGCAATTCAATTTACACCACCTTGCCCCAAATTCATCTTTTTAGCTTCTTTTAAGTTTTGTTTTATACTTCCATCTTTTATTTCATTCTTTATGCTTTCATGCTTTTGCGACAGCATCACACTTCCACTATGCAATTTAGTTTTCTCGCCATGCACTCTCTTTCTTCTCCTCCTGGCAACTCGACACTGCTGTCCAAAGAAGCTGAGAGTATAACCTCAATTTATTGTGTTAGTAATCTATGGCTGTGTGGTCACTCGAACTCATTTTTAAAATTAAGCAGGTCCTTAAGAAAATAATGGCAATCTTTGCTCCCCTGAGGCAAACGAAATGATACTCTTCTTCAGTGGTGAAATACAATGAGCGCAATGAAAAGCAGCAGCTCGTAAAATATTGAGGACCAAAATCAAGAGAGTATGCCTTCTGAAAACCATCCAGGACTGCTATCATTGTAATATTTGCCGCTTTTCTCTCTGCTTCATATTTCTTCAACATTCATACCTGCAAAAAAATTAATATAGTGACATCCCTTTCTAAGTGTCTGAGCATCAAAATCAGTGTTTATTATCAAGTTTTTTCTTGACATAGGAGGATGGAAATGAGTTTGTATAAGATTCTGATTATGCGAGCTAACTGCTTTAGGGTGCAACTGGTACTAAATTTTATGTGTATGCAAGAGGAAAATCTTGGTAATTTATAAATAATGAATTTATTATAGAAATTTTACATGCCTATCCCAAATACCAGTCTCAAAGAATATAATGCAATGCAACATGGAAGATTGGCGGGCTCCACACATACCTCCCCAATGCCCGTGCCTACTGCAACACCCTCTGCAATGATTCTTGAAAGAGCTGATGCATCTCCAAAACCCATATTAACTCCTTGACCAGCGAAAGGATGAACAATATGTGCTGCATCACCAATTAGAACAACACGCCTTGCTGCATAGTCATCAGCATGCATTAAAGACAATGGAAAAACCATTCTTTCAGAAACCAACTTGACTGCTTTTGGTGGAACTTCAAAACATCAGTATTACCCAACAAACTTGACGTAGGATGGGGACCATATCCATAATCCAGAGCATGATTTACAGCTTTCAGAAAGTCATCCTCACTCATAGATATGAATTCTGATGACTCTTTTGGATTCATAGTCCAAACAATATTGCTAAACTTATCACCTATTGGCAAAAGTGCAAACGGACCAGCAGGTAAAAACCTCTGCCATGCACACTTGTTTTCCACATCATGCTCTACAGTACAGATTACAGCATTCTGTGAATGGTTCCACCCAGTTGTTCTAAACCCTCCCAACTCCCTGACTCATGACTTGCCTCCATCAGCTCCGACCTGAGATGATATCATTTAACTTGAGACAAATTAAACATTACAAATGATAAATGTTATTCAGAAGCCCTAATATCCAAATAGAAATTATTTACTGACTTCCATCCTATTATATTTAAAAGAGCAAAATAAATAATCAACATGCAAGTTCAATTACCACCAACTTTGCATACAGGCTATTTCCCTCACTCAGTTCCAGCTTTGCTAAACGCCCTTGACTCAACAATGCCGATGGTGATGATATGCTATCTGTTCCCACGGATGAAAAATTTGGCAAAATGGTCATTGAGGCTAATCTTGAAGCGTAAATTTTCTTTGGTGAATCTGTATCCTGCAAAATTTGAATGTTCTAAGTTTCTATTTTAACTGCAAGACACACCATCATAGAGAGAGAAGACCTCCACATCTGAATGTTTTTATTTTTGGCAAGGAAAGATGTAAGCAAAGAAATAGGGAAAGAAACATCTCACAGAAAGGCAGCAAGATTATCAAGGAAAGGCACTCAAATCTATAATTCATAGGTTTATTAGTGCAAGCACAGGTGTTGCGCAAGGATGAATGAGGGAAAAACCTCAAGGGAAACATGGAAGATGTAACCATGCAAAAAGATTGCACTAATTAACCAAGCTGAATTTCATCTAGAGAACTTTAATGGTTTGCTGAGAAGAATACCTGCATGCATGACAATAGAGAACTCAGAAGTACCTTGTTCTCCACCACACACCGGAATTCCATAGTCCAAAACCAGCATGTCCATTAGTGACAAAGAGATTACAAAGATCACCTTTTTCTCATTAAGTATGTTCTTACCCTAAACTATCTTTGTTTACATCCCGGGCATTGTAACTTGTGTATCCTAGACCAGTATAATCCCAACCCTAGAGAAGATTACAATAAAATGTTAATGGCATTATAATTCAGACATCATCAGTCTCAGTCTTGCTTTAAATCATTAAAATCAAAGCAAAAGGGTATTTAAGGCACTATAGTGCATCTTTCTGGTGAAAGAGAAATTAAAACAGTAACTGCATATGCATATACTTTTATATATATGTGTGTGTGTAGCAACCAGTACCTGCATCTTATCAAAATATGCAGGTCAATGCTGCTCAACATATTTCCAAGCCCCAATATCTGCAGTTATATGACCATTCTTATTAAAACATGACAAAATTCATTTAAAAAACCTTGATTTCCTTGAAAAAATAAAATGACACCACCAATGGCATAGACAGACTCAAAACATTAAATTGATTAACTTACTAAAATTTACTCTTCAAAAAGGGGAAAACAAGGTTCAATTCTTTCATCAACAAGAATGGAGGCCATGAAATTATGGATGCACAATTGGAATTATGAGCTTTTGGCAATCAGACAGCAAGAAGAACCCAAGAGCAAGAGAACACAAATTTAATAAAAGAAAAAGGCAAAAACATCCAGACTAATGTCAAACGGTAAATTGCAAAAGCTATAAATTGTTGTCAACATGGTTTGGGGGTCAATATAGATATTTATGGCCTATCTTGCCCTTGAGATTACCCAATAGAGCAATACTCATATTGAACAACAGTCCATCCACCAGGACACATGAAGATGGCATGGCACATAAGGGGCATGCTATGTTTATTTTAGCCAACATTCACTAACATTAAAACAGAACACATAGGCAAAATCTATCAAATTCTGAAGTTCCTACTTTTATTTCTTCCAACTTCACCAAAAAAAAAAAAAAAACCATGAACTCAGCAGTCTAGAAATGTGTGCCCAGTGAATCAAGAGGAGTCATGAGTGATGAAGATCATATCAGGTTCACTACCTTTGAAGAAAGATATGCTTGCAGAAGTGACTGTACTGACCCTGGGATCAGGGATGTCTTCTTTCTTAATGCAGGGCCTTCTTCCCAAAGCAGGATTGTTATCAATGATGGCAACATTCAAACGTTTGGTCAATGGTGTGTTTGCTGCCAAGACATAGTAAAAGTTGATCCCATCAACCAGCATGCCCTATTGATTATCAAAAAAAAAAAAAAATCCCAGAAGTAAAATTTCACATTTTTATGTATCAATTTACAGACACGAGACTGGCAAATGCACGCATATACATATTCAAAGGTGTGCATTGAAAACCATATTTGGGCTAATTTATCATCAGCCAAGGTTCTAACAACAAGAAAAAAATACATAATGGAGTAATTTCCATTTAATAAAAACTGTTACCTACCCAAGGAACAAGCAAGGGCCATGCCAACCATGCCTCCTCCAATGATTGCAATGTCATATTGCTGACCGTTAGTCTCCTGCAATGTTAGCACAAATCAATTAAATCAAGATTGTACTCCACTTGACATGATAATGAACCCTCAAAAAGGAGAAGAGGAAAAAAGAAAACAAAAGAGAGAAAAGGCTGCCAAACAATGGTTATGCACAAACAATGCAGTATTTGGGCAATAATGAAAAGAACAATCAGAAACAAAAAAAGGGGCAAAGATTATTACGGCGGAAAGAGTGCCTCAATTCGAGCTAGATGCTTTAGCAGCTGCATCATTGCAGAAATTCCTCCACAAAATCCTCAATCCATGAACATTTCCAGCAAGTTTTCTAGACACCACCCTGTTTCAAGCGGATAATCCATTATCAGACCAAAACCACAAGAAAGAGCTACGAAAAATAAGCACTGGAATATATCATAACGAAAACATCTCAAAACAAAATTATCGTCATAATAATGTGATTTCAGCTCTACCAGAATTCGAGCTAAAATTCGGAGAAATTTTGCATATTTTTCGAAGAAACAAACAGAACCCGTAATGGGTTTTGGTTGCGTAGAAAAGGTGAAATGACTACCGGTTCATTCTTCTGATTGCTCTGGCAACTATCTCACTTTGAGCTTCCGATTTATGGAGAACCACTGAACCAGAGCAAGAGAGAGACTTCAAACTTAAAAGTTACAAACAGAACCACCAGTCACGGCGATCTCGGCAATGGGGCGCGACTAAGTAAATTACTTTCCTAATAATTAAAGGAAGAACTGCCAAAAGTGACTGACTGTAGATTTACCAGTAGAGGAGGAGGGCGGTGACTATATAGGACATGGAGGAGCAGCGGTGGAAAGTTTTTTTGTTTTTTATCAGCCGGAAAGTGATGGAGGGGAGTGAAAGGAAAGAGATGAAAATGTATAAAAGGAAATGGAGAAGAACGGTGGCGTGGCCGGCGGTGGACTTGCGCGGAGGAGGCGAGGGGCGCAGGTGAGAGGAGGAAGAAGAAGAAAATGTAGAACTTGATTTTAAAAGCCTGAAATTGAAACGACGACGTGTTGTTGTGCCTTTCGTTTCGGTCTCATTTTTTTGGGTAATCTACTAATGGTCACTGAACTTGATTCTTATTTTCAATTTAATCCCCCCTTTGTCTTTTATCTCAGTGTGCCCAAATTATAAAGATCAAAATTGCTGGAGACCAAAAGAAAAAGATAAAATTTTCTTCTTTGTTTTCTTATCCTCAATGCTGACAAACTAGGCCCCACCCGGCCAAACCCCAAAGAACACTTACAAACAAAAGGAATTTACAGATATCCCACTCCCATGATTGTTAGTAATTTTTTTTCTATAAATTTATTTTATGGTTTAAGTTATTAGTATTTTTTTTATGAATTTATTTTATAATTTAAGTTTAAAATAAAAATTATTAAATAAAAAAAATTAAATATTAAAAAATTTAACTCTATTTTTTTTAACAAAAAGTAATTATTTACAACTATTAAAATATAAAAAAAAGGAAAATGAAGTTTGAAACTCGAACTTCTCGATATAGTATTTTTATTTAAGGACAAAGTGATCACGATGTGAAGAATAAAGATCTTACTTTATTTAATAATTATTATAATATAATTTAAAAATAATTTAAATTACATTATATTTTTTATTTTTTAAATTATAAAAATATTTTTTAAAATGTTTAAATAATTTTTTAAAATGTTTAAATATATTAATTTTTACT